AAATGCAAAATGTGGCCCAACTGTGGCTAACAAAAGAAATCAGCAATAATATTAGATCCAAGGAAGGGGCATATAAATTCACCAAAAATAAGCATCAGACCTGAGGATTGTAAGCAGTTCAGATATCAGCAAAGGAATTGATTAAGAGGGGGGATAAAAGGTAAGTTTGTGAGGAGCACATAACCTGATTGCAAAGGCTTCTGTAGTTACGTGAATTGTAGAAGATTAGTGAAGATAAATGTGCATCCCTTACAGTCAGAAGTGGGAAGTTATAATTGGGGACAATAAGATGGAAGACCATTTAAATACATACTTTGATTCTGCCTTCATAAAAGAGGGGACACGTGACATCCCAAAAATATTGGGGAACACCAGGAATATAGACCAGTTAACCTGACATCAATAATGATAACCACGTTAAATTCCATTGTAAAAGATTTAATAACAGAGCGCTTGGAAAACAGTGACAGGATCGGACAGAGTCGGCACGGATTTACGAAAGAGAAACATGCTTGGATGATTAGTGACAATCATATTGAAAGACAATGTAGGCTCAAAGGGCTGAATGGCCTGTTCCCATTCTCTGTCTCTATATCTCTATGCTTGTAATGCTAAGTCTCAATGTATAACATAACACAATCCCCTCAAAGAGCAAAGTAATAATGACTGGACAATGTTTCTCACTGATAGTTGAGACTTAAATAATGCCAAGATATTAGAAAGAACTTTCCTGCTCTTCAAAATAATGTTCTGAGATCTTTTACATTTAGTTCAGAGGGTTGTCAGGCTTCCAACTTGAAATCTCATCAATAAGGTGGTGCTTTAGATAGTTATTACTCCCCCAATACTACACTGACAGGATTGATGGTACATGTATATGGAGGGCAGAGTGGGGGGGTGGTGTGGATGGGGAACTAATACAATGTGGATGGAATAGAAAAAAAAGGGTTTAGCTGAGTCTGAACAAAATAACAGTTGATTGGCTAATGCATGATAACTAACTTAAACTCACTTAGGTATCTATTAATGAATTATAAATACTATCTAATACAAAAATAGCCTATATTTTGTTTAATCTTTAACATAAATTTCTGTTCTATTCCTATCGTGACAAACTCATCTGGATTTCAGTTTCACTCTCCTTTTGATACCTACTCGAGCAATCATTACCCCATGCTCATTACATTCATTCCAACTGGGGCAACACCATGATTTTTAAACTTCGTCTTGTTTTGAAATTCCTCCATGGTTTCTATCTCTCCCAATCGCTGCCCGCAATTCCCCTGCAAGAGCGATCAGAGAAACTTAACACAGAACAGTTGGATTCTAGTCTTGTGAAATCAACAATTGAAGCATTGAGAAACAAATGCAATCACATAAATCACATTGACAGATGTAAAATGTAGTCACAGTGAAACAACATTTGCCAATAAATCTTTGCAACAAATACCCTTATCTGCAATGGACTTAGTACAATTATTTGCGTCATCACCAACCAATGGTAATTAACCCAACACATGACTTGAGGTTATTTTCCAAACAATAACCTATTCAGATTTCAAAAGCTTTGTCTCCATGATTACCTGCGTTTGTACTTGTTCCACTTAGCTGTAGATCACATGAACAATGAACTGCTTTCGTCAATTTTATAAAATTCCATCTGACCATCTGAAAGTGATTGATTAAAATAATGGAAAAAAATTTTAGACTAAGTCGGTGCTGAGAACTGACAGGATCAAATGACATGATGTGGATGTGCCGGTGTTACTCTGGGGTGGACAAGGTCAAAAATCACACAACACCAGGTTATAGTCTCACTGACACCTGTAGAAGGAGTGAGACTCCAAAAGCTTGTGTCTTCAAATAAACCTGTTGAACTATAACCTGGTGTCGTGTGATTTTTGACCAGGATCGAATGCAACGATGCTTTCGCACATACTGAATTTTGCTGCCTGTTTGGCCTATGCATAAAACTAGCATTCCACTCCATACCATGGGATTTCCATGTGGTGAGTTAGGTTAAAATTACTCACTTATTGAACAGAAATGCACAGTCATGTAGTCAATGTGAAATGATGTAAATTTTCAGATTAGGCAACATCTAAGAAACAAATTTTAAGTTTTAGTATCTGATGGAAGATCTCCTGTCTCTCTGTCCATAAATGTTATCTGACCTAAGCATTTCCAGTTTTGTTTATTCTTTGGCATCGGATTTACAAAACCATCATACTGCAGATGCTGTACATGGTTATTGAATTGCTTTATTTTGCGGTCTGATTCTGCGCATTTCATTCATGCCACAACTTTTAACAGTAGTGAAGTTTGTGTAAAGTAATTGAATCAATTAGTGCACTGTTTCTGGTTGTTTTCTTTCAATATGAGTGGATTTAAATATGAGAGAGTGGTTTGTTTTTTAATCAAGTTTATGAAAGTCTGTACAAATAATAGAATCATAGATTTTAACAGCATGGAAAAATGCCTTTCAGTTCATTGTGTCCACATCAGGAATTGAGCATCTACCAACTCCAGTCCCAATTCCGAGCACTTCGCCCGTAGCCTTGTATGCAATGGTACTTCAAGTGATCGTCCAGACACTTATTTAATATTGTGATGGTTCCCTCATTTGCCACCTTTCAGACTCTGAGTTCCATTTACCAACTGCCCTTTGGGTGAAAAAGAAATTCCAAAAATCGCCTCTCAACCTCCTTCCCGTTAGCTTTAATTCTATGCCGTGGTTGTTGATATCTCTGCTAAGGGGAAAAGATGCTTCTGAATATCCTATTGGTGCCTCCAATAATTTTTACACCTCAGTTAGACCCCTCGGCCTAACCAATATCTCTTCATAGCTGAAACACTCCAGCCCTGGCAACCTCCTGGTAAATCCCCTCTGCAGCCTCCAGTGAAATCACATCCTTCCCATAGTGTGGTGATGGGAACTACACAAAATACTGTACAATTCCGTCATAACCTCTAAAGAAAAACACTGAAAGAACTGCGAATGCGGAAAATCAGAAACAAAAACACAAATTGCTGGAAATGCTCAGCAGGTCTAGTAGCATCTGTGGGGAGAAATCAGATCAATTCTTATTTCAGATGCAGTGACCCTTCTTCAGAATGGACGTTTATGAACAAGGAGTCCTAAATAGTTCTGTCCTGTAGCTTCCTGCAGTCAATCTCCATTTAAATAATATTTAGGACCTATATTCTTGATGCCAAATTACATAACTTCACATTTTACCACATTATATCCACGAGGCAAGTTTTTGCCCACCTGCTTAATCCTCTGTAGACTGTATGATCCTGACCACTTGTTTTTCCACCTACTTTTGTCATTTGTAAACTTGGCTATAGTGTATTCACTTTCTTCATCTAAATCATTTAATATATTTTGTAAATAATTATGGTCTCAGCACTGACTTCTGTTGTACTACAGTAGTTACAAGTTTCCATTCTGAAAATGCTCCCCTTGTCCCAACTCTGTCTACCAATAGTTAGCCAATCCTCTATTCATCCCAATATATAATTCCTGATACTATGGGCTCTTTTCTAATTAAACAGCCTAACATGTGCTATGTTATTAAATGCTTTCTGAAAATCTAAAGAGATGCCCAGGAAATGTCTAAACAGCAAAAGTAGAAAAGTTGTTCAGATCTCACCACTGACAGAGGAGAGAACTGAAGACACAAGCTTTGCTGACTCATCAATTTGATGCTCTAGGTCAAGTTGCTGTTGTTCCACACATTCTCTTACTCAGCTTGGACGTAACAGCTAGAAGTTTTGCATTGCACATGTTGATTTCAGCATCAAGTGATAGATTGCAAGTCATTCTGGATCTCAGCTATGTGAAGCAATCAACATCATTTAGCAACATTTTTTTCCATTCCACATTCAAACAAATAGCACTGACAATGTCCCAGACCATGACATTGTTTTCCTGATGCTAATGATCAAACTGAACTCTTTTACAATCCTCAGGGTGTCTGTTCATTTATTGAAGTTGGCCATCAGTATAGAATGCCACTGTAGTATCATAGGCTTAGAACCACACAGTGATGAGAATTTTTGACTTGGAAATCAAGATTGAACATTTCTCTGTTTGTTATGGGATGTAATAGATGCATCATGTCTAGGAACTGAAGAGTCATATTTATTGATCATTGTTAGCTGTTGTGGTAATGTGTTGGTGAGCCACTGTGTTGATGTGATTGTGATTGTTATACAACTCGGTGGCCTGCTGGGTTAGGAATTTAATATTATGGTTCAACCAAATTTGTTTTTGGCCAGCCCCTGACTCTCTCAGAATCAGGCCAATCAGCGAGCAAAAGCCTGTCAGAACAACAGCGCAGTTTAGCAGTTTCCAAACAGTCAGGACTGCAGAACAAAAAGTTGGGAATGATTTAAGGGAAGGCTTCAGAAATAGAAGACTATGAGAAAAAAGTTTAAGAAATCCATGTTAAGGTATAGGTGAGCTGTGTTAGCAGTTTGTTTAAGGGTCACATGAGAAATTAACTAGAGAAACTAACATTGAATTAAAACAGATATTTGCTGGAAGTATACCAAATAAAGGCTGTTCCAGCTGAAGAGCAACCCTTCATGGAGGACTAAGTATCTGTAAGGTTGGCATTAGGGGCAAAAGGATTGAATGTTTTTCTGTTTTTTTTTAGCATATATAAAATCATTTCAATATTCTTAAATAGTGTAAAAGTTATTTTGATGAATGCAATAAATATTTGTTCAAAGGGTTTGAACTTTTGTTCTTTTGTTAAAAGTACATTGCAGCCTCTTATGAATATGTTCAGTGACTGAGCACCACAGTAATCAAATCGCAAAATAAAAATTGCAGTCTATCAAGCCTGGTTTCACTATGGGGCATGACTTGTTCATCAGCTGGGATCATGACAAAATTTGATTTCTTTCAGAATCGTATAGCGGAAACAAGACCATTCGGTCCATCATTCCCATGTATGCTCTTTGGAAGAATTATTTAATTCCCCATTTACCTTGCTTTCTCATTGCAGGCCTGTAAATTTTAACCATCAAGTCCAGAATCCCTAAGGAAAGTTATTTTTGAATCCATTTGCATCTCCTCTTTGGACTGCACGTTCTGTATGTGATGGGAACAAATATGTGAACATTAAAATTAGGAGCAGGAATAAACCATTAAGCCCCTCAAGCCTACTCTGCCATTCAGGGAGAACATGTCTGGTCTGATTGCAATCTTAAGCTTGCTTTCTTCTGATAAACTTTTAGATTCTTGACAAATAAGGAAGTCAATCAATCTGTACCTTAAAATAGCCCTGACCTCCACTGCTGTCTGGGGAAGCTAGTTTCACAAGCTCCTAAATCTAAGAGAGGAAAAAACTTTTCTTTTTAATGGGAGACTCCATATTTTCGAGTTGTTTTATGTTCATATTTTTACTCAGTTGATCAATACACATTTGATCAAGCATTATCTTCAGATGCAGTCTTCCTAACCATACTAATCTCCCACATTTGTAAACATACATTCTATAAATGTTAATAAACATGGTTAGATTCTAATGCTAGCCCAGAAACTGACTTCTACAATCTGCCACAACGGTGTGGCTAGTCTACTTGGTTAACCACCACTCTACTGAAATTCTGGTAACTGATGGTACCAGTAGCAGACATTAGGAAAAAAAAAAGAGTTTTTGGCTTAGTGCGTGTACCAAAGATTGATAAAATTCAATTCACTCATGAAATTGGTTCTAGAACAGATAGTTATGTTTCTGAACTGAAAGGTGAGCAGCATAGAAAAGCTATTTTCCCATATTTCTATAATGGCTATGAGTATCTGCCAGTATGTTTTGTGATGTACTCAGGTTCCTGGACTTTGATTCTGTGTTATGTTCTGCACCAACTCTGATAAAGAACTTTTCCAGGATGATGTTTTTTGGTTCTGTCTCCTCCACCAGTGTAATATTGAACCAAGAGTTACAATCAAAATGGGGTTCAACTATTTTTGTCCAAATCTGTCTGTGTATGTTTTGAAGATTGTTTTAAACTGGGAAATATTGCTTCTTGGATTCACAGTTCTTTATTAAATTGCAATCAGACTAAGAATTGGGCACAATCTGTAGCTGGTTTTCTGTGTTTCTACTAATGATGGCTAAGTTTATTTTTATTTCAATTTCTCTATCATTCTAGATCATTGTCACACTTAACTAACAAAAATCTATTAATCTGAGTTTTGTAATTTACCATTTGCTCTCAGACAAATAATCTTTTCAATAAATTTCCAGATTTTCAGTATCCTTTTTTTGAGAGAAACTGTTTCCTCAAATCACCCTGAACTACCTCTGCTGGATTCTTCCATAAGCAAAAATAGTGTGTGTCAGTCTACCATATTGAGTTTTCTATCTGCTGAAAGATATTGATTAGATATTCTATACTTAAAAAAAAATGTAAGCCCAGTCAAGAAGATATACAGCATGGAAGCAGACCCTTTGGTCGAATTTGTACATGCTGAACAGATATCCAAAATAAATCTAGTTCCATTTGCCAGTATTTGGCCCAAAACCCCCTAAACCCTTCCTATTCATATTCCCATCGAGATGTATTTTAAATGCTGTAATTGTACCGGCCTCCACCACTTCCTCTGGTAGATCTTTCCATACATGCACCACTCTCTGCGTGAAAAAGTTGTCCCTTAGGTCCCTTTTAAATCTTTCTCCTCTCACCTTAAATATATGTCCTTTAGTTTTGGACTCTCCACCCCGGGAGGAGAAAAATTTGTCTATTTACCCTATCCAGACCCCTCTGTGATTTTATAAACCTCTATAAGGTCACCCCTCAGCCTTCCGCTCCAGGGAAAATAGCCTCAGCCTGTTCATTCTCTTCCTATAGCTAAAACCCTCCTATCCTGGCAACATCCTTGTAAATATTTTGTGAACCCTTTTAAGTTTCACAACATCCTTCCTACAACAAGGAGATCAGAATTGCACACAATATTCCAAAAGTGGCCTAATCACAGTCAATGCAACATGTCCTGATAAAGTAACCATTAAGCTTTCCTATTGAAGGAGGTCATGTAAACTGACATGTTATGTAAAACAATCCATCATTTTTCTTCTCTTTCTAGATCAAGCCGTTGGTTGAAAGTGAACAGTTGCTGTGGATAAGTGGCACAATTGGCCATGTTGACACCTTTAGGATCCCCCTTATTGCAGTCACCCCCCATAATAACCTCATCGCTGTGGCAGAAGCTAGAAAGCATTCATCAGCGGATATTGGTGCTAAGTTCATTGCTGTCCGCACGTCTAGTGATAAAGGTGATTGATTAACTTTGGTAAGGAATGAAAGGGCTGTTTGAATCATTGATTTCTGACAATGGGGCAACTCCCTAATTAGGCTGCACCATTCAATATCAGATTTTTTTTTGTTCTGACAATTGAACGGTTCAAATGCTGAAGGGAATTGGTATAGAATCATATTTAAATTCATAAATATGGTTGACTAAACAAACTGAGCAACACTTCCAGTCCTGTAGCATTAAATGCTTTTTTTACAGCAGCTCAAATATATACTTTTGCCTTTGAGGACAGACTACTCATAAAGCAATTGTTTTCTGAACTAACGCTGCTTTGAGTCAAACCATTGGACATTGTTGAGACATTTGAAATCATTGGGAAAACAGAAGGAAATTAAATCTATGGATCACTACTGAATTTTTTTTTAATGATGTGGCTCTGAAACAAGTAGCTGATGAAAAGCACTTAGGAGCAGGGTGTAGTAAGAGCAGTAGAAGGCAAGTTAATTGTGAATGATGAAATTCTGACTTTGCTACACTGATTAAGGGTTGTATTATTGTAAATACTGGTCACTGTAACCTCGCCTGTCTTCTGTGGGGAGTGAACAAGCTGTTTCGTCTTCTAATTTGCCTCATAAAATGTACATCTGCGAAAAGACTAAAGTTCGGATTGAACCCGAATGCTCTGCATATTTTAATGTAACCTCTGAAGCAGAAGGATTCCAGTTGCAAAATTGAAAACGGCCAGAGTTATCTTTCTGCGCTTTTCCCCTTGTAGCTATTTATGAAGTTCAAATTGAAGTATTTGCTTTACACACATGCAGATGTTTTGGATATGATTCACAATAGAACCTGTTGGTGCTATCTGGATTTCACAGAGGGAATATACAATGCTCTGGTATGAAATGTCAAACTGTTTTATTTTTAAATCCCTGATATCAAGTTTCCACAGTTTTCAATGATTCATAATCTTGCTCATTTCTGGACTTGTATTGCAAATACCTGTTGCCTTTCATAGCATGGTGGCTCAGTGGTTAGCACTGCTGCCTCACAGCGCCAGGGTCCCGGGTTCAATTCCACCCTCGGGCGACTGTCTGTGTGGAGTTTGCACATTCTCCCCGGGTCTGCGTGGGTTTCCTCCGGGTGCTCTGGTTTCCTCCCACAGTCCAAAGATGTGCAGACTAGGTGGATTGGCCATGCTTAATTTCCCGTAGTGTTCTGGGAAGTATAGATTAGGTGGGGTATGGGGCGATGGGTCTGAGGGGATGCTCTGAGGGTCAGTGTGGACTTGTTGGGCCAAAGGGCCTGTTTCCACACTGTAGGGATTCTATGATCTATGAATATGTCCCAAAGAGCTTTACAGGAAATTAAGGTAGACAAACAGGAGGCTGGAAAAACACAGTAAGCAAGGCAGCATCTGGAGGAGGAGAAGTCAGTGTTTCGGCTATTACCCTACTTGGCATTTTAGAAGTGTAGTCACCATTTTAATAAAGAAAAACAGCAAACCATTTATAAACAGCAAGCTCCCACAAATAATAATCATTTTTAAAATATAAATATGGGCCATACACCAAGAATAACTCCTTGGCTCCTCTTTTAAAATAATATAATGGAATTTTCTGTGTCTATCTGAGAGGGCAGTTAGGAGAACTATATCTCAAAAAGACTACAGAATCGGCAGAGAACATATGCCGGTGTTTTCTCACTGCTTGCATGAAGCAGAATGTTCTTCCTGATTTACTAACTGTCAGTTTCTTTGACTGTGGTGAACATATTTCTACAGTCATCACAGTTTAAATCTCTTATCTGGTAACCAGTTGCCTTTGATGTTGGCAGATGCTCTTGAGTTAATTTTGTACTGTGGGAAGAATCAATTAGTGAAAATGGCATCCTGTGGTTCAATGATCTAATATGGAACTGAGCCAAGCAGACTAGAACTGATCTATATTCTGACCAACAGCACCTGGTGGGGACACAATGGCCTAGTGGTATTAAGCTAGAAACTCGGCTAATGTTCTGATAACCCGAGTTTGAATCCTGCCACAGCGGATAGTGGAATTTGAATTCAATTTTTAAAAATCAGGAATTAAGAATCTTCTGATGACCATGAAACTGTTGTCTATTGTGAGGAAAAAGCTATCTGGCTCACTGATGACCTTCAGAGAAGGATATCTGCCATTTTCACCTGACCTGTCCTACATGTGACTCCAGATCCACAGCAATGTGCTTGACTTTCAACTGCCGTCTGAAATGGCCTAGCAAGCTGCTCAGTCGTATCAATCACTATGAAGCCTCAAAGAAATAAAACTGTACAGACCACCTGGTATCGACCTAGGCACTGGAAATGACAATGTCAAAAGCATCCCTGTTGACCCTGCAAAGCCCTCCTTTACCAACATCTGGGAGCTAGTGGCAACATTGGGAGAGCTGCCTCACAGACTAGTTGAGCAACAACCTGACTTTTTCTGTAAGTTATGATTCCATAAGTATGACTGTATCAGAGACCATCCCTTTATACGTCCTGTCCCATCAACAGGACAGACCCAACAGAGGTGGTGACACAGTTATACATAGTCAGGAGGGAGTTGCCATAGGAGTCCTCAACATTGACGCTGGATGTCATGAAGTCTCATGGCTACAGTTTAAACATAGGCAAGATAACTTCCTGCTGGTCACCACATACTGCCCTCAGCTGTTGAATCTGTACTGCTCTAAAATGAACACCACTTAGAAGAAGCACTGAGGGTAGCAAGGGCACAAAATGTACTCTGGGAGTGGATTTCAATGTGCATCACCAAGAATGACTCTGTAGCAGCAGTACTG